TCCACCCCACACAACCCTAACTCCACCCCACACAACCCTAACTCCACCCCACACAACCCTAACTCCACCCCACACAACCCTAACTCCACCCCACACAACCCTAACTCCACCCCACACAACCCTAACTCCACCCCACACAACCCTAACTCCACCCCACACAACCCTAACTCCACCCCACACAACCCTAACTCCACCCCACACAACCCTAACTCCACCCCACACAACCCTAACTCCACCCCACACAACCCTAACTCCACCCCACACAACCCTAACTCCACCCCACACCCTGTCAGACTCGAACAGGCAGACACTCGTCGACAGGGAAGGAAGTGGGCGTTTCCGGTTACCTGCCCCCCACCCACCCTTTGCATCCAAAAAAGCTCTTATACTACACTTCCTACACACCCAAACATTAAATCTAACCCAAAACACGACGCCAAAACCCTAAAGTCGTAACGTAACCCGGACACACCCATCCCACACCCCACACACCCCATACACAAACCTAACACACCCGAAATCCCACCCCACACACCCGGCGCCGCCTTCGCCGCCCGGCGACCCTATCGGATTTTCGTGTGCGACGCCGAGCACGGCCCATCTCTCAAAAGCCGCGCCTGGTCCGCCCAGTCCGAGGGCAGCCGGCCGGGGCCCAGAGGGTGCCTCTCCCATCCCGCAGGGCGGGACGACTTTATTCGCACGCCGTGGCCCGATGACAGGCGCTGCCCTGGCGCCGACTTCTCCGCCCGGCGACCCTATCGGATTTCCGTCCGACGCCGAGCATGGCCCATCTAGATCTACAGCGACTGGAACAGCCCCGAGGTGGAACAAAAGTTCCGCGTCCGCGAGGAGGCTCAGCGACGCTCCGGTACCCTGGGTCGTGGGTATTATAGTGACCCATCATTTGTGTGATATACCTACCAAATCAGGGCCGCGGGGGGGGCGTTGGGGGCCGCTGGAGGGCCGCTAGACCCTTCCCGGGCCCCTCCGGGTGGGTCCGGGTGCACCCGGCCGTGTGGCCGGTCACAGCCCGACGCCCGGGCGCCGCCTTCGCCGCCCGGCGACCCTATCGGATTGGCGTGCGACGCCGAGCACGGCCCCTCACTGGCGAGCCGCGCCTGGTCCGCCCAGACCGAGGACAGCCAGCCGGGGCCCAGAGGGTGCCACTCCCATCCCGCAGGGCGGGACGACTTTATTCGCACGCCGTGGCCCGATGATGGCCGCTGCCCGGGCGCCGCCTTCGCCGCCCGGCGACCCTATCGGATTTTCGTGCGACGCCGAGCACGGCCCATCTCTCAAAAGCCGCGCCTGGTCCACCCAGTCCGAGGACAGCCGGCCGGGGCCCAGAGGGTGCCACTCCAACCCCGCAGGGCGGGACGACTTTATTCGCGCACCGTGGCCGGTCACAGCCCGACGCCCGGGCGCCGCCTTCGCCGCCCTCGCGCGGGCGCGGGTGATCGAGATGCCCGAGGCGACGACCGAGGGGGAGGGCGACGCGCAGCGGTGGCGACTGGTCGTGGCAGACGTCGCGCAGAGCGAGCGGGTGGGTGAGCAGGAGCCGGAGCCAGAGCCGGAGCCGCCGCCGTGCCAGAGGCGGCAGCGTGTGACCGATGCCGATTGTCTTCAGAAGCGGGAAGCTCTGCGAGCGTCGATGGAGGCGCCGTCGGATCGCGCATCTGACGAGATCATCGATCTGGAGGAGTACACGCTCGTTTTGTCTGGCCCGTTTGGGCTGCAGCGGCAGGGCTCCGTGCTACTCACGAACAACCCTCGTGAGTGGCTCACGGACTCGCACCTCGCCAACCTCCTCGCGCTGAGGAAGGCGGAGCTCGAAAAGAAGTCGCTCTGGATCCGGCTGCTCTACCCGTCCGCGACCGACACCCTTCTGCACGCCCTCAAAGACGAAGACCGTCGCCAGACCACGGTGCTGTCCGCTCTCAGGGGCGAGCTGGCAGAGCCGCTGGCGCAGGTCTTCTGCAGCGGTAGCCATTGGTGCTGATCGTGCTCGCGCGATGCGCGGACGTCATCTACTGGGAGGCGACGGGCGGGTCGGCGGCGCTGCGCGCGCGCCACCCGCTCTTCTCCGCAATCGACACCGTTATTGCAGAGGCCGGCGCGGGCCCCCGCCCCAAGCTCCGCGCGATGCAGCTGCGGCTGCAGAGTGGTGGATGGAACTGTGGCGTCTGGGCCGTGGTCCTCGTCGAGAAGCTGATCGAATTCGTCGATGCAGGGGGCAGCGGCTCGCTCGACGACTTTGTGCGCGCGGACACTCGTTTTGTGGACATGAGCGCTCAGGTCGGACAGAAGAAGAGAGAGCGGATGCACGCAACAAGGCCTTCATCGGTGCGCAGCGCGACCGCTTTCGCACAGAGCTGCGCGACGCGGCCGGGCGCGATGGATTGCTCTTTGTGGGCTCGAGCCTGCTCGAGTGAGAGTACCGAGAACGGTGGAGAATCAGACCGCGACTCTACACAAGATTTTCGTGTTGTTGTGTGTGCGGTGCCACACACACGCACAGACGCTCTCTCTCTCGTGTGCTGTCTGCCGTCACCACAGTGGTGTGTGCCATTAGTGCAGTGATCTGTTGGGCAAGCTTTAAGTAGATAGTCAGAGTCAACAGCAGCAAATTACACTGTACAGTCTGGTGGAGGAAGCTCAAAGGTGACGCACACGACAGGTCTCTGAAGACACACAGCGTTCTACTCTAGCCATCCGTTCTACTCTAGGCCATCCTATTGAATAGGCTCTAGAGCGCGGCTACGCGTCGACAAAATGAGGCGCCAGCGTGTTGCTCGGTATGCTCCCACAGTGCACTGTCGCCATGAGAGCGTCATCGGGCCGAGTTGGGCGCCGGCACGTGTGGATCAGCTCACGCTGAGCGTTCGGGACGGCGCAATACTATTGAATAGGCTCCACCGGAACGCAACCTCGTTGCATGAAAGCCGGCTCCAACGGTGCGTCCGGTGCTCCTACAGTGCACTGTCGCCGCGAAGAAGGCCGGCGGACTGCGTGAGTGGCTGCCGACAGCTATCTCAGCGGCGCTGAAGCTTCGCGGGACGGCCTCTCACTGTAGCGTCGCGATTTTCGGCGGTTTTCACATCAGCATTCATGACAGGGTACAACGGGTGTATCGGCGCTTTGCACACCGTCGAGATAGGTGGAGACACGGCCCCGGGTGTGCTTGGGGCGGGTCTGCAACACTCTGGGAGTCTCCCGGTGCTGCCCCCCCAGTCAGTTTGCCGTTAGTGAACGCAGCCCAGAGATAAAATCTCCCAGAGCCGCGTCCTCAGGCCTAGCGCAGGCCACAGGCACAGCGCGCGAACTCATCACACACGCCGTACACCCGTGCTCTGCCTCTGGCCGTACTGAGCCTAGCGCAGCGCAAACTGGCCGTCTGAGCCTAAGCGCAGCGCGAACTCGCCGTACTGAGCCTAGCGCAGCGCGAACTCGCCGTCTGAAAGCCCCTAGCGCAGCGCGGAACTCGCCGTCTGAGCCTAGCGCAGAGTCTGAGCCCAGCGCAGCGCGAACTCTAGCTCCTGTTCATAGCACCACCAGCCCGCCACCACATCGGCGTACCCATCCCCTCACCACCACCACACCGGTCCACACGCCACGCAATGCTGTTTTCGCCCCATGCGCTAACCTCTGAGTGGGCACTCACCTCGTACCCCTGCTGCCTTAAAGTCTCACGCATAATGGCAGAGCTCTTTGGCCCCAGATAGGAGTGCCGAAAGTAGAGGAGCGACGGACGCGGCCCGTCTCGCATTGAGAGGAGGGTGCGCAGCATCACCTGCGGGAATTTCATACCAATATGACTGGCGGTCACTTCGGAAGGCAGCTGGAACAGAGTGGGGTTGCCTCGACGGATGGGTCGTGCAACGTGAGGACGAGAAGATCGATGTGCTTCGCAGGAGTGACGCCGAGCGCATCGAGCAGTGTGTGCCATGGCAGCATCGTCGCATTGAACTTGAGCAGCCGCGTCCGCCTAAAGACACAATATCGAAACTTTTGGGCGGCTCACATATCGCAGTGCACAACGGCACGGCACGCCAGCAAGGCTCTGTACGCCGCTCGTCGACGGCGCATCGTCGCATCGCGGCCGCGGCAGAGCGGTTGGTGCCATCGAGGGCTTCAGCGAGGGGACCGCCTGTAGCGTCGATCCACCTCAGTCTCGAGGCACGCACCCTGGGTCTACATTCTCGTGTACAATCTCCTGCCTGCCAAATGGTCCATTTGCCACCGATCGAGGCTCCACCGCTGGACAGCCGCCTCGTCAGCCGCCGTGCCCCACTCCAAGCGTTGCCTCGTTTCGGCGGGCAGCGGCCGACCTAGAGTGACACAAAACAGACGGGTTGGTGGGTGCGTCCCAAGGGAACGCGACGCGGCTCTGTGGGCAGCAAATGGCCTTTGAGATCCGGAACCTGCGCCTCGATCCGGGTGAGCTCGACGCGGAGGGCGGCGGCGGGTGGCGGCGGCGGCAAAGGCGGAGGCGGCGGCGGCGGGAAAGGGGATCGCCGCCCCGGTCGCCGACGGCGCCGTCGCTTCTGCGGCGGGTCCTGCCTGCTCTGCGGCGCCAGCAGCCCGTACTTCCTCAGCGTGACCGCGCCCGGCGCCGCAGTAGCCGCGTTGGCGGCGAGAGAGGCAAAAGCGACTGGATCGGGCTCAGCTAAGGCCGCATGCCATCCCAGCTCCTTGACGCAACGCAGCGCTGGCAGCCTGCCGAGGCCGTCTGGCAAATGGCCACTGTACTCGCCATCGCCGGCCGCCGGGTCGAGCAGGAGCAGCGGCGGCGCTGCGCGCACCTCGGCTGAGTGGCGGCGGGCGGCGGCGAGAGCGGCGCTCATCCGCGCTAGGAGCACTTCGGGCGAGGAGAGCACCTGATCAACAAAGCTCTCGCCGCGCGCATGGTTGCCACAGAGCCTACAACACATCCAGCACCCTCACGCCTTCACCGCCTGCGCAGCCTGGGCAGCATACGCCGCTTCGCCAGAGGCACGGCGAGGGCACGCGCGGCAGCGCCCTCCTGCTGCCTGCCGTCCCCTCAAAGCACGCCTCCCAGACGCTCTTGCCAGCACGGCGCGGCGCCACAAACAGCTGTCGCACCAGCGGCGCGATCGGCGCGAGAGCGGCACAAGCAAACCACTCCGAGAAGGGGATGCCGAAGGAGACGGCACGCCCTGCCGCCGCCGCCGCCGCCGCCTCCACCTCTTCGGACGCGAGTGGCATCGTGGCCGGGCCTGGGCCCAGCTGCGGACCTGGCGTGAGAGGGAGTGGGGCGCTGGCGTGAGGCTGTGCGAGGAGGGGCTGGGCGTGGCCGAGTGGTCACCGGCGGCATCGAAAGCATACGGAGGAGACGCACAGCCGGCGCTGCGCCACAGCAAGGCCACTCCGTGCCGCGGCCGCCCCACCGCAACCGACACCCGACTCCGCGCACGCTTCCTGCCCTTGGTCGGTGTGCTCGCCGCAGCGGCGGCGGCCTCAGCAGAGGCGAGGGAGGCCGCTGCGGCGGCCTCCCACTGCTGACCAGGGTAGAGGTGGAGGCTGTAGTGGCCAGCGGAGCGGTTGCTCTCCCACGCAGCAGCGACCCGCTCCTCGGCAGAGAACCAGAGGGCAAGCGACGGTTCGGCCACAGCGAGGAGCGTCAGCCCGGCCGTACGAGAGTGAGGCAGAAGAAGCACGTCCACGCTCCTCTCCGACGCGAGCTGCTGTGCGTCGAGCCTGCGAACCTCCCACCCGTGCTCCTCTGCCAAAGCCTCGAGCCGTCGCTGTTCCGCCGTCCGACGCACGCCTCGCAGCGACACCACCCTCAGCCTCCGGCCCGCTTGGCTCGTCGCCACACCAGCGGACAGCGCTCTCAGGGTGGCATCTGGGGACTCGAATAGGCCGCACGGCGATCCCACAAAATTACACAGCGCCTGCCTCGCAGCCGCCGGCGCCAGCTGCGAGCCCTTGCGCTGCTTGGGCACAGACCAGGAGGAGGCGACGTCGAAGAGGTGTGACGCGAGCGGCGAGGCGGCGTGGAGCGCGCCGCACGCCCACTCCGCGACAGTGTTCGCAGCAGACGGCTGCCTGTGTTCCATTTCGCGCGTTCGATTGCCGACGCCGGCACGGCCCTGGATGGGAGGGGCGAGCCGACAACCCAGCCGCCGATGGCGGCAGGGTTTGATCCAAAGCCGGGGCGGGAGCTGTCCTCAGGGTCCGCTTGCAGGCGCATTTTGTATACCGAGGCGGTGCCCGGTGCCGAACCTGTCGGACCTTAAGACAGCATTGTAGATCCCTGGGCGAGGGTGGTGGCGTCCCCGTCCGGAGGGGCTGTCTGGGGGGGCGCCCTCCCGCACCGTCACCTCTCAGTCACCAGCGTCCCGGTGAGTACGGCGATCAGAGCTCCCCCGCTCGTCAGACTTCCCCCTTGGAGGTAGACCGCTCGAGGTACTTTTTTATCCTCATTCTCATCTCTCGCCTATCTTCACTACGCACACATGCAGGTACGGGGCCGCTCGGCCAAACAAGTGCACCCGACCGCGTGCGGCGCTCCTCGTCTTCACTCACGGCGGCTCACAACGAATGGTCCTCCACGGCGCGCGCCGCCACCTGCACGGTGGTGACGCAATACTCCTCGTTGGGCTCGGCGGCGCTCGAGACGTGCAGCGCCGTCAGCCGCAGCGAGGCGAGCAGCTCGGGCGCGTCTCCGGCCGCGATGGCGGTCGCCATCGAGTGGGCGATGCAAGGCAGCAGCTCCTCGGCGCTCGCCTCGCGCCCAATCGTCAGCCGCACCGCGCGAGTGGCCACGCCGCACAGAGCCGCGAGCGCCGCGGCGCGCTCACTCGGCAGCGCCGTCGGCTCGCTCGCCGCGGCCCAGAGCTCGGCGACGCCCCCCATGTTCTCGAGCGCGCCGCGGGGCACGCCAAACGCGTCGCCGCCGTCGCGCACCGCGGCGAGCGCGCCTCGCACCAGCCGCTGCTGCGCGCCGGCGAGGCGCGCGACGCACGCCGCGTGCAGCGGCGTGCCGGCGGCGCCAAAGACAAACTCCTCCGCCCGGAGGGTCTGCGCCGCCGCCGCCTTGCTCCCCTCGCCGGCGGCGGCGAACGGCGGCGCTGCGGGGCGGGTCCGCGGGGGCAAGACGTCGGTCGGCAGGGGCGACGCCGCGGCGAGGGCGTCCGACTTGCGCAGCGCGGCGGCGACGGCAGCGGCGAGGCGGGCCGCTCGGAGGAGGAGCGCGTCGATCTCGTCCAGGCTCGCCTCGTCGGCGGCGGCGACGTCCCGCAAGAGCTGCGAGCGCGCCCAGTCGAGCGGGTGGGGCGGCGAGGCGGAGCCGCCGCGCGCGCGGCAGAGCGGCACCGCGTGCAGAGAACGACCGCGGACGAGGACCGCGTGGAGGCCGTGCGCGATTGCGAGGCGAGGCCGGGCGGAGCACCCCGGGTCGAGGTCCACTCTCAGCAGCGGAGCGCCAAACTCGACAGGCGGCGGCGCCCCGGCAGCGGGAGCCTCGCCGCCGCCGCTCCTCTCGACGGGGACGAGGAGGAGCGCGCCGCTCGTACGCAGCAGGACCAGGCCCGGGAGCAGAGCAGCGCCCCCTTCGCAGCTGCCCTCTGTGCTCGCCTCGCCCGCTTGGTCCGGTGCCGAGGCCCGCCACAGCGCGCCGCGGCGAAGCGCAATCCACCAGGCGCCGCAAGCGCCCCTGGGATCGGCCGCGGCGGTGGGGGGCGGCAGCAGCAGCAGACACTCCGCGTCGTCCGCGTCGTCCGCGTCGGAGGGTGGCACAAAGCTGCCGCTGCAGCGCCACTCTGCAGAGGGTGGCGGCAGGGCGGCTCCGGCGCGCTGCAGCGACAGTGTCGAGAGCAGCGCGCCGCTCGAGGCACAGAGGATGAAGCACGACCACGAGCCTAGAGGTCAGCACCGGCCGGGCCTCGGTACCACACCAGCGCTCGCCTCGCCCTCGAGGCGCGAGGCCGCCCGCGGCGAGGGCGGACTGGCTGTCGAGGCGGAGCGCGCGAGTCGGCTCGGGCAGCACCCGTCGCCACACGAGCTGCGGCTTGGCCTCGAGATCGTACACCCATACCATCGAGTGGCCCGCGCACACGGCCAGCCTGCCGACTGGCGCCCGTGCTCCGTCCGCGTCGAAGAGCGTGGCGCGGGACTGGTGTATCGCGGCCGCAGGATGGAGGTCGTCGATCCCGTGCGCCCCGACGGCGCCTGAGCACCGATGGAGCACTATCCCTACCGCGGGGAGCAGCTGCAGCTGGTCGACGGCGCTCGCGGACAGCTGCGCCGCCGCGTGCAGCACCGCCGAGCCGCCACCGTGGAGCCGCCAGGTCTGCAGGCGACCCTCAGCCGTCCCGACGACAATCTTGTCGTCGGTCGACGCCAGGCACGTCACCTCGGCGGGAGCGTCGAGCAGGCTGCCCGCCTCCTCGCAGCAGCTGCTCGCGCGACCACTGTAGGCGCTGTAGGCGCGAGCACTGTCGGCCATCGCCTTGAGCGAAAGAATTCAATCACCAGCTGGCTCGGGTACAAAAGGGCGACGGCCCCTTTTGGGCCGTGAGGAGGCCGGCGACGCCCGTAAGGGGAGGCCGGCGCGGTTGTACGCGAGGAGACGGAGGAGCAACGAGCCGATGGCGTGGTCGCGGCAGGCCAAACGACGAAAAACGAAGTACTTTTGGCCCCCGCGAGCGTGGAATAGGACCGCCGCAAGCGGCGTGGCGTGGAGCGGTTGAGCGTCCCTCCGGGGGCCCCTCTGCGCCGGGGAGGCGTTGTTGGCGGCTAGGACGCAAGCGTCCGTCGCCGTTTTCAAACTCGGGGCCCACTCCGCTACGCTCCGACCCGAATTTGGAGGGCCATGAAATTTAAGGTGTTGCTGCGCAAAAGGGGTGGCGCGCGGGCGCGCGCGGCGGCGGGCGCCGAGCGCGGAGCGGCGAACAAAAGGACGTCGGAAAGCTTTGCATCAAGTGTACAGTAGGCTCTACAGCACGGAACCAGGGCGCGAAGTATCCTCTCCGTCCCGTGCAAACGAGTGGCGAGGGCCGGGGAGGGCGCACGCGTTCGCGTGGGAGGCGGGGCGAGGTGCCGCAACGCGGAGCCGCGCGGCGGAGCGCACGCAGTGCTCAGTCGTGGCACGCGTCTCGTGGCTGTGTCGTCAGCGCGGGCATAGCATCGGCCAGTGATCTCCAGAATCTTGGCGGTTTGTCGGTGAGCCCGGCGCACGTAAAACTTTCTCGTGGCACCCATGGCATCGGGGGCGGCTGCGGTGTGGGATGCAGCGCGGCTGGGTCGGGTAGAGGAACCGTATCACCCGGCTGCTGCTGACCCGGCGGTTGAAGCGGGGGAAGTGGTGGGAGAAGCGGCTCGGCCTGTGCGGTGAGGTCAGTGCGCCTGCCCTGTTGCGTCCAGTCACGGACCCATGCGCCCTGCATCACAGCAACCGCTCGCCACTGAACGTCGTCGAACTCGATCGCCTGCCACGGCCCCGGCAAGATGCATTCACCCCACTCACCAGCTTGGCCCACCTGGTACGGATAGCGCAGCTTCTGGAGCACGATGAGCGCCTCAAGGGCATCGCCGCTGCACCACAGCGCGCAACGGGATAGCAGCTGCTTGTTCTCTCCGCACTCCTTCAGCCGCAGCAGCGCCGCCTCGGTCGCAGGCGTGAGCGTAAGCCGGTATGTCTTATGCCGGTCCGGCATATGGTGACCCCAGAGATGTCGCGATGCGCTTTTCCCCGATCATATCCGTCCGTCCAATCGAAGGAAGCGCTGGATCGCCCATGTTATGGAGGTAGCCAAACTTGAACCGACGTTGTCGTATTTGGGAGCCACGGTCCTGCTTTTGTTTTCACGGGTTACGAAGCTGAGTACGGCGTCTGCGACGCGGGCGCCTTGCGGGCAGAGCCCTTAGTCCCCCTTTATCTTGCGCGGTCAAAAAGTGAATTTGGAAAATCTCCCGTGGCGGCGTGCCACTCCTCCCATCCCTCCTTGGTGGTCTG